GGCTGGCTCCTATTTAAATGGTTGTCCGCCACGGCTGGCTCCTATTTAAATGGTTGTCCACTAGGACTCCAAGATCCCTCTCATGGTTACTACTATTGAGCAAGGCACCACCTATACTGTACCTGTGCATTTCGTTTTTCTTGACTAAATGTCGAACCTTAACTCTTTTCACCATTGAATTTCATTTTGAGATTCATTTAACTTCAGTAATTTACTTAACTGTGTCAAAAAAAAAAGGGTTAGGATTAGACAACACACTTATCAACTGCTTTGCTTAGCAATGGAAATTTTGGGCCGAATTGTGGTTTCAAAACCTGTACAGACAGAATTCATATTCACTGTCATGTTTCTTGTCTGGAATGCCTTGAAGGGCTAACATAGAAACTGTTCTCCCTGCTGTGGTTTTACTTTTCCTCCAGTTTTAAAATCAGAATGTGGTGTCTTCTTTTGTTCTATCATATGCCACCAACCTGCAGGAAAATTGTATCGTTCTTCTCATCCTAGGGCGCTGACAGTGTTCCAATATTGGAAGAGCTGCCTCAAAAAAGAGGGGGGAAAACTATACTCCAAAGCACCTGAAGGCAGGACAAGAAACAATGGACGGACATTAATCAAGGATAGAAGCAACTTAGAACTAAGGAGAAATTTCCTGACAGTGAAACAATTAATTAGTGGGATGACTTGCCTCCAGAAGTTGTGGGTGCTCCAACACTGGAGGTTTTGAAGAAGAAACTGGACAACGATTTGTCTGAAATGGTATAGGGTTTCTTGCTTGAGCAGGGGGTTGGACTAGAAGACCTCTAAGGTCTCTTCTGTTATTCCTTAACAAGGGGGTATGGCTGGACCAGTCTCATCTGCCAAAACTTACACGAGTGTTTTGGAGGATACATTTAAAAAGAGGCCAGCGAACCCAGGATATGAAGTAGCTATTTCAGCTGAAGAAGCTTCTTGGATGAGAAGCAAAATGCCTTCAAAGAAAAACCAGAAAGTCCAGTTGCCCCTTGGGGAAAAAAAAAGCACCTTTGGGACAAGTTCAGAATTGTTCAATTCTCAACTGTGTTGAACAGCAAACTGGCTGAAATCGCAGAACAGCAAAGCTGGGAAGAGGTCAACTAGGAAAAAAAATCATCAGGTGAGGTGGTGGAAGACATACCTAGGAAATTTTAGCGTGGGAAAAAATTGGTTTTGAAAAGAGGGAAAAATGAAAACTAGACAGCGCTGACAAGGTATACAAACCGGGCGTGGCATGTGTGTGTGTGTTTATGGTGTTCTGCGTTTCAACATATATATTATCTCCTCCTTTTCCCTTTGGAGTCAAAACTATTGGGAGGGAGGAGCTCATTAACGGATTTTAATTGGGGAGGAGGAGATCTTTAGAGATTTCCCACGTTTATTACAGCAACTGGGGGAGGGCGTTGAGAATGGCACTTTTTCTTCCACTAGGTTAGATATTACAGCTCTCGTTAGTTTCAATTTGTCCAGTTTATTAACAGCCAGAAACACAGATACGAAAGTGTGCCTGGCTGGGTTTTTTTTAAGTCTCCCCCCCCCTCCCAAAATGGGGATGTGGCACTTTGGAGGTGATTAAGAGAGTATGCGACACGCTGCCTTCTTCCTGTATGCACTTTGCTCCCTTCCTCTGTGTTAGCTTTAGTTTAATTCAATTTTAAATTTATGGCCCTTATTTATTGTTTTAGTGTTTTATATAATTGAATTCCCGTAAGCCATATAGAGATGGGTGGCGTGCAAGTTTAATAAATGCCAGATTTACTTTTTCAAACAGCAGTAAGGTAAAGGTTCTCCTCGCACATATGTGCTAGTCGTTCCCGACTCTACGGGGTGGTGCTCATCTCCGTTTCAAAGCTGAAGAACCAGCGCTGTCCGAAGATGTTCTCCGTGGTCATGTGGCCAGCATGACTAAACGCCGAAGGAGCATGGAACACTGTTACCTCCCCCCCGCAAAGGTGGTTTCTATTTTTCTACTTGCATTTTTACGTGCTTTCGAACTGCTAGGTTGCCAGAAGCTGGGACAAATAACGGGAGCTCACTCCGTTACATGGCAGTAAGGATTTGAACCACCGAACGACAGACCCTTCTGATCGACAAGTTCAGCGTCTTAGCCACTGAGCCACCCTATGAAACAGCAGTATATCTGTG